GTGGGGGCAAAGGTTTCCTCACAAGTCTATGCTCACAGAGGAAACTCCAACTGGTTTGCTCTGCTCAGACTCACTTCACAGAACTAGGCAGACGCATAAAACTCCCCTTGCAAACATTTCTTTTACCCCAGGCATTAGTTCTCCAAGGAAAGTGTTAAAAGCCAGCTTCTCTTGCCCTGGCTGGTGCTGCTTGGTGGTTGGAGAGTCAGCCCGCACAAAGAAGGGTCTCGGGGTCGATTCCCAGCCAAGGGCACACACCTGGGTTGCAGGTTCAGTCCTGGCCCCGGCAGGGGCGCATGGGGGAGGCAACCAATCCAGGTCTCTCTCTTGCATCGCTGTTTCTCCCTCACTCTCCCACTCTCCCGCTCTCCCTCCCTTCCACTCTCTAAAAATCAACGGCAAAAATACCCTCAGGTAAGGATTAACAACAACAACAAAAAGCCAGCTTCTCTTTTAAGAACTCCATCAGACACAGGACTTGGAACTGAGACACTTGGTTAATTAGCTGTTACATTCTGACAGGCCCAATTCCAATTCAGGTTTCCTGGATACGAGGATCACTCGCCGTCAAGTGTGTCTCTGGGCTTCCAGGTGACAGTCTGGGTGGGAGGCGTGTGGGGCATTTATGAGACTGAGCAGTGCGCCCAGTGCCCCCAACAGGTCTCCAGGGACCTGACCGCTCACAGTTTACATTTACAGGGCCATTAAAGAGCTCCCAGCCCACGTCAAATTGTACAAATACTAAAATTACAACATGGTGAGAACGGCCCTGCCTCACAACAGGACCTGCAGGAAAGTGTGAGGGGGAAAAGCCCGTCCAGAACTTAAGCATGAGACCAGCTAGCTGACTTCTCTTCCATGCAATTTACAGACACAGGCGGGAAGACCATTTGGAAACACAGGCAGGCAGAAGTCAGGCTAAAAACTGCCCCAAAAATTCTACTGCGTCTCAAAACCAGTACTACTGCAGGGAGCGCCTCCCTTGCCCCAAAGGGTTTAGGGCAGCACTTCCATTTATAAACACCTGAGTGGCTTCCAGCTTCACACCCGGGAAGAAGGCCAAGGTCGAGCCCTCCTGGGGCCCGGGGAAGCAGACCCACAGTGGACACGAGCGTCCAGTCCCGCCCTGCTGGCACCCTGCTGTGACGCCCACAGCCACCCTGCCACGGGCGACGCAGGAAGAGCAGGGGCGGCAGAAACACCATCTTCTCCTAAACGCTCCTTACGGGCCAGGCGAGTCAAGGCTCCTTGCCCGTCGGCAGTCTCGCTTCAACGCCCCTCCGGCCCCGAGGTGCGGAATGCTACCCCCGCCCACTCTGCCGGTGAGGGGCTGGGCCGCAGACACAGACCACAGGGCGGGCAGAGCCAGGGTCCCTACTCGGGTCTGTGCCTTTGTCACAATATCGCTCATCAGAGCTGCGGCACCGAGCCAAGTGCAACCAGAGCTGTTGAGCCTGAGCCCGGAACGGCTGTCAACTGTGTCTCTGGTCAGTAGCCGGGCCAGGGCGGCACCTCCACTGGCGCATATCTGCCTTTCATAACGTTTCCACAGGGACAACTGAGCTCACAAAGGGACAACTGTGAGCGGCCATGAATTCCCAGCAACCCCAACCCCACAAGGCAAACACCCCAAATGCCTCCTGCTCAGGTGTCCCCGTCCCGGCAGCACATCTGCGGGCAGGACCTCGATCCCAGGACACACTGGACACGGCAGTCCCGCGAGGCCAGGGGTACTGGTGGGAAGCGGGCTCCGCGGGAGGTCCCAGGGGAGCCTGTCGGTCAGCCCGCCGAGTGTGAACGCGGGGACCCCGACCTTCACCCAGGGTTGGCTCCATCGGAGCTTTCTGGGACTAATCCCCAGTAACCAGTCCCTGTGAGCCAGCAGGCCAGGGGCAAGAAACATGGGGGTCAGGAGAAGCGAGGACACTGGAGTTGTGTTCTTAGTCTTGTCTGCTCCCCTTGCGGGGAGCAAGGTAAGGAAAAGCGAGCTGGGGATCCCGGCCCTGAAACACCAGCGAGACAGCACAGGCTCTCTTCCTCCCGCAGGCGCCGCGGGCAAGTGCACCATCTCCGTCTCCCAGCCGCCGCTCCTCGAGGTGGACCCCACTCAGGGGGTGGTGACGGTGCCGTGCTCCTTCTCCACAGTGGGGTGCTCCTCCCAGCAGCCCAGCAGCCTGTGGCTCCGCTACGGGGCTCACCAGGCGGAGGTCCTCTGCATGAACGGGTGCACAAGCAAGGCCGACAAATTTACAGAGAAGACCCTGGCCCAAAACCAGGTCTCCCTCACCGTCAACCAGCTGACGCCCAATGACAGCGCCATCTACGTCTGTGGGATAGTCTCGCCCAATTCACCGGAACCGGGGGCCAAGCAGACGGGCGCCGGGACCGTGCTGGTGGTGAGAGGTCAGTGCCCCGCCCTGTAAACGCCTGGCCCGCCTGACCGAGCCCATGACCGAGCTCTGCTGACTTCACTCCCCAGCCAGGGAAGGGCGTGACCCGAGCTCGGCCAACGCACAGTTTGGTTAGAAAACCACTATGACCCCTCTCCAGCCTCCACAAAGCCATGTTCTCTCCCCACATCCGGACGTCACTAGTGAGTGTACCTTTCAGTGTGACAGCCACGTGGTGTCACCAGCAGCCTTCTCAGGCCCTGGCCTCCTATCGCACCATCTAGAACAAGGCGCTGGTCAGTAAGGCAGACCCAGAAAAGATATGCATTATGCAGAATAAATACACATTTGGGGAGAAACCACAGGGGGGTCCCTGACCCTACCATTCTGTGTGGAGAAAGGGACCAGCGTGACTCCGGCTTCCTGGGATTTGTTAAAACCCATGACAATTTCCTCACTCAAGTGAGGATATTAAACCTACCCAAGTCCTATATATTAAGAAATTATCTTTTTATTGATTTCAGAGAGAGGAAAGGAGAGGGAGAGAGTTGAAACATCACTGATGAGAGAGAGGCATTGATCGGGTGCCTCCTGCGTGCCCCCAACTGGGGAGGGAGCCCGTAACCCGGGCATGTGCCCTGAGCGGGAATCGAACCCTGATCTCCTAGATCCTGGCCGACGCTCAACTGCTGAGCCACGCCAGTCTGGTTGGACTCTTTTTTAATCTCGTCCCTTAAAAATGACTCGAGTATGAGGGCTGAGATCATGAAAAGGTGAACTCAGGTGACCCGCCCTGCACGAGCCGGCACAGACCTCTGTGCCCGCCCTGCGCTCACCTCTGTATAATCCCTGCTTTTAACCACTAGGGTGTTTTCATGGGCTGTGGATAGTCCAGTGCCACTTGACCTTATTTGATTCTCCCCTGCGAGATAAATTATAAATGAATTAATATACATAAAGCACTTTTAATGGTACCTGGTCCTCAATAAATGTTAGCTACAGACTTGAGGACAAACACACAAGTCTGGAGATTCCCACAGCCCACTGCACTGGTCTCTGTAAAAATGTCAGCCACAGAAAAAAATGCACACTTATGCAAAGAGAAATGCTCGCTTAGGGGGAGAAATGAAAGTATTGCTAACAAAGATGGAAATTTCCTACCTTTTCTGTAGAAGTCCTAATTTAGCACTTGAAATATTTTTTAAAAGGTTTACCAATATGGTTAATTTGTTAGTTTCGGAACAAAAGTATACACTGAATAAACTGAGTTCATAGGATAAGCACTACGGGATATGCAGTTGAAAAGTATGGGTCATTCAGATGACTACAAATCAAACTGTATTCTGCATTTCAAATAATCAAGTACTCTGAAGACTTGTTAACCCACTCCTACCTAGAGCACAGCACACTTCCTGCAAGGAGGGAGAATTCAAAATGTGAAAATAAATTTAATAACCCACTTCTAAGACTTTATCAGCAAGAAGAAGGGGCATGGAACAGCACCTGTCTTCAAGTGTGTAGTGAGCACTAACACGGCAATGCTCGGTCTCCTCAGGCCCTTTTACAGATGGAGACAGTCAGCATGCGTCCTGAACCGCTCGACAGCATTAGCAAGCACAGGGGACCCTCGTCACTCCATGCACAGACGCTCAGTGACACGTACACCATTCCCACACGAGCAATCTTAAATGCCCTGGGACAAACTGTCTTGAAATGTTTAGCTAACTTTAAGTCATGCTTTATATAAAAGTGATTCTTATCAGCATGACAATTAATTTTTAAAATTTTAGTTTTAAAAACATTTTCACTATAATACATTTAAAAAACTGATGAACTGGTTTTAATTACATCATATACTTGAGTGTCTTTAAAATCGAGAGACCATAAGTAAGTTTTTATGAGTTGCCAAGTGGAGTAGGTTCACGCTTCACCTCGAAAGCGCAGCTTCGGTTGACCCCGAAGCATGTCCTTACAGCAGTGAGCGTCACAGTGACGGCCGTCTCTTGCTCTAATTCACAAGGAACCAAAGGCACGACGCTGCAGAGCCTCCTGATAGCACTGCTGTCCCTGCTCTCCGTCTACGTCGCCGGGGTGCTCGTGACCCTCCTCGTCTTGTCCAGGGTAGGTCAAGTTCCCTTGCACTGGGTGCCCTACAGCCCTGCACATTTCTCCCGGGAAGGACGCTCACCTCTCCACCGAGAGCCTCAGAAACAGCTCACCTAATTAACGTCTTCCTGAGCGGCTGCGGGAAACGCCTGCAGGATGTCGCAGGAGAAAGCAGACATTTTCTCACAGAAATCATCACTGACAAAAATACGCAATGTTTTCTCTTTAAAACCCAGTAATATTGGAATAAGGACCCTTCTTTATAACCATACTATATGCTATATTTCTGCTGGGGGGGGCGGGTTAAAAATGAGCTAAGAGGGGTTAACAAAGAGATTCGAATCTGCCCTAACATATTTTTAAAAGGCCTAAAGTTTTTGAGAAAGAGAATCTATCTCCTGGCTGCTCACATGCTACTAAAAAGGGGTCTGTGTGTGTTGTATTAGGATTACTATCAGTCCAACAATCAACACCAGTCTGCGTCATTTTATTAATATAATAAAAGCACCTCAGAAATGGCGTAAAAAGCATTAACTCCTACTGTATAGCATTAAATATTAGGTTAGTTCAATCTTATGGTAGGAGATGTCTGCTGCAATTGTTTTGAGTACATAAAATGTCCTTTAAGACTTTTCTTTTCTTTTTGACAGTCAAAATTTAACACTCCAAGAAACAAAGAAACAGGAGATTCACAAAAGGTACAAACCAATGCTTGTAAATATCTTTTACACTGAGGCTGGTTGTAATGACTTCAAATCCGAGACAACTTAAGAAACACAGAGCGTCACGTAACTTTCAACCACAGCCACTGGTTCCTATTGAGAAGCTCAATGATGATCTCTAATGATAAACTGGGATTTAATGTACTCAAAATACCAGCGTTACCGGTGGGTGTGGGTGGTGGTGGGGGAACCTGGTGACATGCAACCCACTGCTCCGGTCCTAAGACTAAGGCACCTCTTCTCATTTGTATTTACAGAAAAAGAGTGCCAGGCGTATTTTTCAGGAAATTGCTCAAGAGCTTTATAGTAAGAGATACGTGGGAACAAGCCAATCATCTGCAAGTGTAAGTATGAAAAGAGGTTGTGCAGATATAAAGCACATTTGACCAAAGAACTAAGCTGCCGACGAGGCTGCGGTAACAATCACGGTTTCCTGTAGAAGAGTCCACAAGAGGGCACCCACATACAGTAAATTCTTATACAGAGTAACCCGCTTAGATAAATACATCACGGGACGTCTGACACAACAGAGACACCAGGCTGGCACCTCAGTCACTGGGCTCTCGGGGGCACAGGAGAGACAGGCTGGGCTTTCACCAGACGGGTGCTTGGGGTTAAAGGCTCCTTTGCACAGTGTGTGTAGCAGACGCCACACAGATGCTGCCAACACTGGGTCAAGCTCTGTAGCAAACATTACTTGTTGCTAATAAGGCAGAAACAGATTCAAAGAGAAAAGAAGCAGCTAGTGGAAATACGCTGGGTGTTTTCGGTCTCGGGGCTGGAGCGGTAGGAAGAATGCTTAGGCAATACCTGCAACAGCATCTCTTTAAAGTCCTATGTAAACAGATTTTCCAACAAGACGCTATTTCAGAGCCAGGTGAGCAGGTGCTTGGTCTCCATGACACACGATCAGATGTTCAGATTTGAATTAAAATGATACAAAATAATGAACTTATGTACAACTAAGGATATTTTCCTCTTAAACAGCAGCTAACGGGCAAATATAACAGGTTTCTGAAAGAGGTGTGGTTTTTTTAAATCAATTTTTAAAAAGAATTTTCACCCAGGAGAGAATCCGTCTAAGTAGTCACTTCACCCTTCGCGGTGTGTACAGATGCAGAGGAGCGGTCTGCCCACCTGAGAGGCCGCTCCGGGTGGTATAAATGCCCATGCACTCGTTTCTCAGCGAGGCTGGGCATCTTTCCAGCAGAGGCAGAAGCGGCCTGAAGCCAGGCCTGGAAATAAGAACTATAACATGTTTAAGAAGGGTTCTGAAAAAGGCGTCTGAACAGGAAAATTAACTTTCATTCCCACATCTCTGCTAAACACCTGACCTTTAGGATTCCTGGAGGGGCTCAGGGTGGGGATGCAGGACAGCACAGTAGTTAAATGCTGCGCTCAGCCTGGCATCATCCGCCGCGTGACCTTAAATACGCTTGTTTTTACTAACGCAGGAGAAAGACAACACTTATGAAAACAGGACGGGACTTCACACCCATGACAGTCCCTAACAATGGCTTAATTTTCAGTAAGTCACTGAAAACCCAGAAGCTGTGGTTAATGGACACATACCCATCAGGGCTTACAAACATAATCAAGGATGCGTGGAAAAAACAACTGGCCACAAGTAAGGACGCCGGAGTACAAGAAAAATACAACTAACAGTAACTACCAAATAGTCAAACACAATGAAACTGCAAATACTTTCCTAACCACTAGAGAATTCTACACATTCTAACATTTTCAAAAAAGTCCGTTTTTATAGCATCATCCTATATTGCTTCACTCAACATGTAAGGAGTGTGATGACTATTTCCCTGGAGATCTGAAGTCATATCACATGCCTGTCTTGAGTGGAGGAATTGTCTTTATGGGTTGTGCCAGTGGGAGGCCAGTGAGATTAAGCTGGGAAGGAGGGAGGGAGGCAGGGAGGCAGGGAGGAAAGTGTCGAAATCTGAGCTAGAGAAAAATCATCTCACAAAGCACCTTGGAGCAAAATTCATCTCCTTCAGTACAGCCCTGGGCAAAAACACAGCGCACATCCTCGGCCAGGCATGCAAAACGACTCACACCACGCTACCAACACCGAGTGAGGCTGGAACACGGAGTAAGGACACGGTGGCTGAAATACAGAGAATCCAAAGCAGAAGGCTGGAGGGAGACCGCACAGCCGACTGGATGTCCGCGCTGTGCCTCTGCACCTGTCCCCACCTCAGGAGGGGAGTATCAGGTCCGGGCTGGCACCGGAGGTGTTTATGGGATCGTCACCACCTTACCAAGAAAACAGAGTATGGATTGTTCTTTGAAAGCTACTTCAGTGCAAACAATGTATTTAAAGTGCCGGCAAGTGTACGCTGGCCATTAAATGCAAGTTACAGCCTATTGTTTTCACTTCATTAAAGTGTTTCTTTTAAAATGGTAGTAAATGAAGTGTATTCTTACTTTTAAAACCCAGATAGAATGTTTAAATATTTTAAGATCCCTTTGAAAAACATTTTGCATGGATGACTGAAATCTGTACTCCTCAACCATTCTAGTCACTCGTGCCAAGAGAAATGGAAGGGGGGGCATGTAAAGGCATTTCATTTGTGTGTGTACGTATGTTGTGTACGTATTAAGTATGGTGTATGTGTCAGCTGTATATGTGTATATATATATGTGCATCTTAGCACCAAAATAGAAATTAAACAACGGGCATAGAAGTAATATACAGTTGACCCTTAAGCAATGCAGGGCTTAGGGCACCAACTCCCTCTTCCCCCCAAGCAGTCGAAAATACACTGACACCTTTCTGTTGTTGTCAATCTTTACATAAGGGTATTTTTTCCATTGTTTTTTAGAGAGAGTGGAAGGGAGGTAGGGAAGGGGGGGAGAGAGAGATTGATTGGTTGCCTCCTGCACACGAACCTGCAACCCAGGTACGTGCCCTTTACTGGGAATCGAACCCGAGGCCCTTCGGTCCACAGGCCAGCACTCTAACCACTTACAACTTTTGTTTCCCCGAAACTTAACTACTGTTGACCCGAAGCCTTACCGATAACATAGTCAATCAACACACATTTTGAATGTTGTATGTATCACATACTATATTCTTACAATAAGCAAGCTGGAGGAAAGGAAATGTCACTAAGAGTGCCTGATGTATGTACGATGCGCACTTTCATTCACCCATTGGGCCAACAGTATTTACTGGGAGCGCCACCCTCGGGTCCTGCCCAACTGCCCCCAGGCCCGCCTGTCCAGGCTCTGACGCTTCCTCCCACCCGCCCCTCTGCCCACAACACGGCTCAGACGTCGTCTACCATGTGAAACCCGCAGCGCTTGGTAGATTTCTCCTCAGACTATCCGCCAGTCTGTCCATGTCTATCTTCCCTACTATTCTATGAGCATTTTAAGGTTAGATGCGTATTTTTCATTTCCACTGCCTAGCAGTGCCTGGCACATCATAGGCTCTCAAATGCCAGTATATGAATGCAACTGAACACCGTTTCTATAGAAAAATGTTTTTCAGAACTTCACCCGAGACGGGAAGCACCCTCACTCACAGCCCTCAGCCGCACACCCGTCCCGTAAGGACTAATCCCTAGCAGGACTAATATTCCTACTACCCCAGCATCCAGAATAGTCACTGGAAAGCACTGGGCTACAGCTTTCTGTTTAGATTAAGTTTCTCATACAATGAAAACAGTAATACTGAAAGAACTAAAGAGGGAAACAGAGCCACAGTTCTAGTGTCTACATACCCTACAAGGCACCTAAGTCCCATACCAAACGAAGGCCCCGGGTCCGCAGAACGAGCCAGCCCTTCCCTCTGCCCAGTGAGGCGAGAGCTCGACCCTCTGGCCAATCCACACACAGTGCGGCCTCGGTGGAGTCGGGTCACAGAACCGACGGGGAGCGCAAGCTCTGAGCCCAAGTTAAAAAGCGGAATAAAGACAGAAAATACAGTCGTTATTGTTAAAGGAGTTTTACAGGCAGGTCGAAAGGACACTGACAAGTATTTCAAACTGAAGAACTGTGAACAAGTATGACCAAAAAGCCACAAATAAAAATGAGGTGGCAGGATGGGATGAAACAAACCCCATGTGTCAGGTGCCAGGGCTGAAGCGGGCACTGCCGGGCTCTGCCTACATGGCCGGGTGCTTCATCTTCACAACAGGCCTCCAGGCAGGTAGCAGCCTATTTCGCAGATGAAACACTAAGCCTGGCGAGAGCCAGGTGCAGGGCTGACATGTTTCTAACACAGGCTGGCCCTCAACACCCAGGCTCTTGCCAGGACACAGCGCTGCCTCTTCTACTTGGAATGAAGGGAGCTTTTAAACCAGATGTGTCTAATTTAACGACAACAGTTAGCCTGGAAGGAAGTGAGAAAGTTGCCAAAGGCTACCTTCCAAAGAGCACAGGCCTCCCCCTGGGGTGAGACTTGCTGCTGTCCCCGGAGAAAACTACCAAACTTCCAAAGAGTAGATTCCCATGTGCCAAAACTGCTCCAAGCACAAAAAACTTCCAAATTAGTTCTTACAAAGCCAGCAGAACAGCGATACCAAAACATGACACAGATAACAGCCTCCAAATAAACAAACGACCAGATACAGGCCAACTAGCATTCACCAACATTGACGCTAATATTTTTACTTAGAATTTTCGAGAGACATTCCAGTGATGCGTTACGAGACCATTCTGTCTGCATCCAGAACTGTAAGGGTGGGTGTATATTAGAAATATGTCGTTAGTTTAATAAGTCAAAGGAGCAAAAGCAGGATAACCACACCTCCAAGGACGCTGAAAACACCAGGGAAATATCCAAAAGTGATTCCTGATTTTTTAAGCTTGTAATACAACCGGATTTTAAAAATACGTATCTCAAGGCAAACAACAGCAACCTCAAGCCAAAGGGTAGCATCATATTTAAAGTAGAAACATTTCATAAAAGTCAAAATCAAGACAAAAACACCCACTGTTTTTTGTTGTTGGTTTTTTATATATATATCTTTCTTGATTTCAGAGAGAGGAAAGGAGCGGGAGAGAGAGAGAGAACCATCAATGATGAGAGAGTCACTGATCGGCTGCCTCCTGCACGCAACCCGGGCATGTGCTCTGACCGGGAATCGAACCCCGATCACCTGGATCCCAGGTCGATGCTCAACTGCTGAGCCACGCCCGGCCGGGCCACCCACTGTTTTTTATTAACATTTTCTGGAGTTAACTACCAATTCACTTGGACCAAAAAAAAAGTCTGAAAATGAAAAGTAGGGAAACCATCTGGAGATGCTGTAACTGTGTGTCCACAAAACACAAGACAATCGATAAAAAAATATATTGGAAACACTAAGATAATTCAATAATATGAAAGATAAAAATATCAACTGCCTGTGTATCTATACATGGTATTTATTCTAAAATACAGCGGAAGAGCCGCTTGCGACAACAGGAACAAACCTGGAGGATACCATGCTCGCTGAAGTAGGCAGATCTTATATGATCTCACTTATACTTGGGAGCGAAACGAGCCAAACTCCTGGGAACCAGGAGTACGGCTGCCAGGGCCCGGGGTGTG